GATATGAATGCTCCTGGGATAAAGCGATGGTTTTCGCATAAGGTTAATTCCAACATTACAAACATTAACATGTGCATATATTCGAAAGAGCCCCAATATTTATCAAACTTCCTTTTCATAGAAATAGTCACATTTTGCAACACAATATTTTTTTTATTTTTAATTCTAGCCTCAACCTCAATCTTCAAGTTTATCAAGATTTTTAGAACAAGATGCGAGGTCGGAGTTTTGGTGACACTAAACTTGACAGTGGTATCATAGAACTTCTTGAGGATATGTGCAAATGCGCATATTCATTGCATAATGTCTGACTTTTTTGAAGCCATTTATGTGAAGATTTTAATATATTTTTATGATAGGGTGAAAATATATATTTTTACTATAAATAACTTTTTAGTTCGCATGTCGTAGCTTAAAAACTATGAAGACGTAACTTTATTGGTTGAAGCAAAATATATAACGTCACACTAATCAATTATAGTAAAATTAGTTTAGAGCCATAATATAATAAATAAACTGGCTCACAAATCACAATCGTCATGCTAAAACTAAACAAGTGACTTGTGCTTTCATGGCACGTTTATGAGTTTGCTAGGAGAGGAAAAACACTCAAACTGTGACTAAAAGCATTGTGCATATTTAATATTAATTAGTTATTGATTTGATGAAACATTTAATTCTCAAAAATTTGAAATTAATGCTTACAACATACAAGCTAGTCATGTAATGTTTGTACATTTACAATTAGTAACATTTTCATGGTGTAGTACGTCATTTATTTTTATTACAATCGAATAGTTGACATTTATATATATTTACATTCAAAATACATTAGTGTGTATAGTTAATTTCCCAAACTAAATGGTTATAAGTGTGTAAGGTACATAGTATCCGCGAATAAATTAAGTTAATCTCTAATTTGGTAGGCACATGTTTAAATTAAAAGTTTCAAAAGACAAACTAAAGCCCGATTCTCTAAGCTTAGACTATACATCCATTAGGATGAGAGTCGACCTGTTTGTAACAAGTTATCAACATGATGTTCGGGATCGATGTGAAGCTCCATTGATGAATAATTAATAACTCAAGCGCATCTTTGCGCCTATTCCAGAAGTTTCAATAAACAAACGA